GAAGGAAGGAAGGAAGGAAGGAAGGAAGGAAGGAAGGAAGGAAGGAAAAGAAAAGAAACAAAAGAAAAGAAAAGAAAACGGTGCTGGGCCCAATCCCCAGAGTTTCTGACTTAGAAGATCTGGGCATGGCCCCCAATTTTGCATTTCTAACAAGCTCCAGGTGATGCTGATGCTGTGGTCCCAGGACCACACTTGGAGAACCACTGTTTTACCCTTGTAGTTCTCATCCTTGGATACACTTTGGAATGAATAATTGGAGAGCTTTACAGAATGCAGAAGCCTGTGCTTCCACCCCCTCCCCCAATCTGGTCTCCATGGTCTAGGGTGCAGCATAGGCAGGGGGTATTTTAAAGCTCCCCAGGTAATTTTGATATGTGGCCGGTGGACCTATGCCTCTCCAACTGCTCACCTCTTTCTCAACTCCTATAGGTGCCTCAGAGCTACTGTCCCTGCCCAGTGATGTCTTCCCAACCCTGGCTGCGCAATGTGGTTCCCTGGGGAGCGTCGGAAAAATGTAGCTTTTCCCAGTCCCCAGAGATGATGACACACTGGCTCTGGGCATCTGCATTTCTTTTCAGAACTCCACTCGTGATTCTGATATGCATCTAGGGTGAGGAGGGCAGCACCAGTATGACCTGCATGTGGCTGCAAGGTCACCTCCCTCTCACCTGCTGCAGAGCTTAGAGTGGCTCCTTCTTGCTCATGGAAATCATGCCATCCTCGGGCGGGCATCTGCCTGGGACTCCAAGCTTCTTGACATAGACTCTCTGCAAATAATAAGTCACTGATGATTCTTCTCCACACTCCATGCCTTTACTTAGGACAGTGCTCCTCAAAGGGTGGCTTCAGATCAGCATCAGCATTGCCTGGAACCTGGTTAGAAATGCAAAGTCACAGGCCCCAACCCAGGCCTACAGAATCAGGAATTCCCGGGGGGAGGAAGGAGAATGGGAGAGCAATCTGCAGGTGATTCTGAGACTTGTAAAGATCAAGAACTCTGTGTTTAAAGCTACTTTCTCCACCCGGAATCCCTTTTCTGCCAGTCCAAAAGAGTCCAAAAATAATACCTTCCCACCAGACACAGTGCCTCATGCCTGTAATCCCAGCACTTTGGGAGGCCAAGGTGGGTGGATCATTTGAGGTCAGGAGTTTGAGACCAGCCTGGCCAACAGGTGAAACCCCGTCTCTACCAAAGAAACACTATATATGTATATACACGCACAAAAATTAGCCAGGCATTGTGGCATGCACCTGTAGTCTCAGCTACTCAGGAGGTTGACGTGTGAGAATCGCTTGAACCTGGGAAGTGGAGGTTGCAGTGAACCGAGATCGCACCACTGCACTCCGGCCTGGGCAACAGAGCAAGATTCCATCTAAATAATAATAGTAATAATAATACCTTCCTTCGTTCCTAACAACAGCTCAGAACTCCCCTTCTTGGGGCAACCTCCCCTGCTTGTCCTCCCCTTAGACTGGGCCCTGGAGTGCTCAGATGGTACATCTCAGTTTGCTCTGGTAACTAACATTGCTGACTGCATGGCCAGTACATTTCACACTGTAGACTCAGCCGCCACTGGGGAATGCCCGCATCAGACCTGAGCTCTACTTCCTTGGCTGGGGCAGCAGCGTGGGGTCGTGGGAAGGTCCACTGGCCCAGGAGCTGGCCCAGCCTCTTTGCCTCTTTTTCTCTTTTTCTTTTTTCTTTTCTTTTTCTTTTTTTTTTTTTTTTTTTTTTTGAGATGAAGTCTCACTCTGTCGCCCAGGCTGGAGTGCAATGGCATGATCTCAGCTCACTCCAACCTCCGCCTCCTGGGTTCAAGCGATTCTCCTGTCTCAGCCTCCCGAGTAACTGGGATTACAGGCGTGTGCCACCATGCCCGGCTAATTTTTTTGTATTTTTGTAGAGATGGGGTTTCACCATGTTGGCCAGGCTGGTCTTGAACTCCTGACCTCAAGTCATCCACCCACCTCCACTTCCCGACATGCTGGGATTACAGGTGTGGGCCACCACGCCTGGCCTGGGCCCAGCTTCTTATCCCCCACTCTGCCACCAGCTCCCTATGCAACCATGGGCTGCTCAGTCAACCTCTGTGAACTCAATTCCACTGGAGGGGCCCGTGGGAGGAGCAGCAGTAACACATAAGGAAGAGCTGCTGGAGCCCAGTCACTTCCTGAGCACCCACTGTGTGTTGTGGTCTGCTGGGGAATCTTCACCGCCTGAGGCATGGTCTACAGCCTCAAGGGGCTGCCGACATTCCAGAATAATCACAGAGGGAACTGTAACCCAGTGATGCAAGTGCTCTGCAGCCATTAAGGAAAACAAAGCAAATATTTGGTACTTACGAAGTGTTTAGAATAGTACCTGACCAAGAGTAGGTGCTATGTTATTAGTGTCCTCATTCGCATCATCATCTATATGCACAGTTATGGACCAATCACCAAGATGTAGTTCTAAGTGAAAATACTGAACACAGAGCAGTGTGCATAGCATGCTGTTAGTGTCACAGCAGGGTGGCATGTACCCCTAATGCTCATATAGGCATGGATTTCCTGGGGAAAGAGACCCAGGAATGGGGTGTGGTGGCTGCCCTGGGAGGTTCATCGGTACCTGGGCTGGGGGGGAGTGGGAGAGGCGTGTGTGCCTCTTACACTTTTAACATCTGGAAAATTTGCCATGCCTCTGCTCATCATGTCTCTGACATTTTTTATGTTAGGAAAATCAAAGCATGGCAGTGTTTGGGGCTGTTTCCTGCAGGGATTTTTTCCAGGCTCCGGGGATGTAGGATATAGGGATGGCCCCTCCCATCCCAGCCTACACTGAGGCCTTCTGGATGAGAGTGGGCAGAGATCAGGGAGACAGGAGCCCTTGCCCCCTCCTCTCACCTCATCACCCTTCGTGTCCTTGAGCCTCTTCCTTCTGGGTCCCACGCTTGTCCCTCTTCTCTACTCCCCAGCACACGCGTGTGCACACTCACGCAATACGCCTCCTCCAGACCCCAGAAGCTATAGCCCATCAGAGGCTGGGGACAGTCGCTCCTCTAGGGTGTGGTCCCGGGGTCCCTCCCCTCCCATGACCCAGGGTCTCACCGCCTTTTCTCTCTGGTTTCTTCCTCCTCTCCATACCTCTCCGGCTCCCTCTGTCTGTCTCCATATCCTTTGACTGACCGACTCCCACTGACAGAATTTGGTAAGTGAGCCTCGGAAGGGCAGGGGTTGGGCTTGGGGAGGGCTCATGGTGGGCACAGTGGGGAGGGGGCTTTGAAAAGGGCACAGCTCCGCCCTCCCCCACCCTCTCAGGCCCCCAGCTCTTGTGGTTGAGGGATCGAAGGTTCAGGGGAAGGAGAGGAGTTGGTGTCACCTGTTCAAAGCTGTCACACCCTGCTGGCTTCAGCTATTAGTGCCCCTTCGGGCATTTAATTGGTCCCTTCCATCTGACGGGACGCATTCCACAACAGGGAGTGCTGCAACCTCCACAGCTCGACAGGCCCAGAGGAGTCTTGCCCCCACATCCCCTGGGGAGCCGCTTTGGGCTGAGGTCCTGGAGCCCCGCGGCTTGCCTGGACCCCAGAATTGGCAAGAGAGGGTTCAGGGAGCTCAGCTTCCACCTCTCCATCCAAACCTCTGTGCCAGGAACAGGGCACAGGCCTGTCTCCAGCCTCTTAGAAAAGTCTAAATGCAGCAAGGGTATTTGCCGGTTTGCTAAAATGGGAAAAACCCAGGAGACTGATGGGTAAACATTAGCATGCATTCACTCCACAAGTGCATTTGAGCATCTCGGGGGCAGCCCCAGGGGCCCATGAATCTTGTGAACTCTCAGGCTTCACTGGGCGTATCATTTTCTGATCATTCCCCCTCTGCCCTGAGCGGGATGGGAACCAGCCTTTCAGGGAATATCCCCTTGGACCATGGAGAGTCTTTGGGGCCAGGGTGACCTGGCAGCCCCCTCTCACCAGGAACAGGTTTCCGAGAGGAGTCCCACAACATCCCCTAAGCAACCAAGAAGTGAGGGTAGGCTTCCCTTGCCAGCCACTGGTTCAAGAGAAAAGGGCCCATTGCAGAGGTGCTGAGTTGGCCACTGGGCTAGGGGTGGGCTATGCACCATAAGCCAGAGCTTCTGCCTCTGGACTGACAGCCAAGGTCAATGACCTACTAGGCACCTACAAGAGGGATCAGGAGGAGGCTCTTACACATCACAGGCTACCTGCCCAGTTGGAGGGGAGTTTGGGGATGCAGGTGATCCCCTTGCCCCAGTGCAGGCAGGAAGAGGAAGTAGAATCACTTTCTGAGCAGGCCAGACCTCAGGGGAGTCAGTAAGCTGAATCTCCCACCTTCAGCCATGTGTCCTCCTGCTGACCTGGAGACTTCAGTCACGTCTCATGCTTTGAGTGAGGAGAGTCAGGTGGCATCTGAGGGGCTCTGTGAGCCACAGCCCTGGTTAGAATAATCAGAAACACCTGAACTTGAGTGAGGCACCCACCTCCCTGAAACGACGGGCTTGGACCTCCAGGACACGGGAGAACATGTGATAGGGGTAGCCACCCTGTGCTCAGCCTGGGATCCAGGGCCCCCCTGCAATTGGCCACAGTGTGGGGTCCCTGGCAGTTCACGTTGCCACTCAGTCTCTGGGTTATTCCCATTTCACATGTCAGCAAACCAGTGTTCTCCCTGATGGACACGTTCCAGAGGAGGAGGGGAAGAACAGCATCTGCGTCCCTTGTGTCCTCTCCTGCCCTAGCCTGTTGTGGCCGCTTAACCCCTTCTCTTCCCTCCACTCCCCTCGCATCCTCTCTCCCCCTCCTCCTTCTTTCTCGCTGCTGGGTTGTGCAGCTGGCCGGTCCCTCTGCAGCTGGGGTCACTGGGGCAGAGAAAGGGAGCAGGAGATGGAAAGTGAACCAAACCACCTGGAGGGGACACTGTGGGCATCTGACAGCACAAGGAAGGGGAAGAGAGCCAGAGGAGATTTCCAGAGGGCCTAGACATGGGCAGGTCATGGAGTCTCGGAGCTGCACTGGGAAAGCCCTGCTGTGTCCCAGCACCTCATCCACTGCCCCAACCACAGCAGCTCCGGGCTCATTCTCCAGGGGCCTCTGCTTCTCCATCTGGGTCTGGGCTTCGGCCACTGTGCCCTTCCTGATGGCTTCTTCTGCACTCTTGACGCAGGGCCTGAACAGCATGTTTGAGGTGTATCTGGTGGGGAACAACTCCCACCACTTCATCATCTCCCCAACCTCCGTCCAAGGGAAGGCAGACATTCGTATTCGGGTGGCCATCCCACTGGACTACGAGACCGTGGACCGCTACGACTTTGATGTAAGGCCACACTCACTGGCATTTTGGAGTAGGGTGGGGGTGGATTTCAGGGGAGGCAAGGGTAAGGTAGAAGATTGCCTTAGATCCCACCTTCCACTGCTGCCCATCTTCCCTTGTGGATCTGACTCAGACAAGCCCTCCAAGAGATGGCAGGGGCCGGGCTGAGCCTCCCTTTTCCAAGAAGGACAAGGATATGTCCAGGAATTAAGTGGAATTTTACCAGACTCCCATCAGGAGCTTCTGCAGCCCATATCCTGCCAGATCAGCCCCTGCTAGCTCCTCCTGCCCTAGCAGAATCAGCGGCCATCCCTAGAGCAATGACAGATGGGCTCGCAGTAGCACACAGCTGGGATGGGCAGAGACTCTTAACAGGTGATCTGGGCTGGGGCCGGCAAAGGCATGGATAGGACTTATGGGGACAAGGACTCTGGGAGGGGACATGTGGGAGCTTATCTGGGCCCCTGTTCTGCACACCCAGCTCTTTGCCAATGAGAGTGTGCCTGACCATGTGGGCTATGCCAAGGTGAAGATCACTCTCATCAATGAAAATGACAACCGGCCCATCTTCAGCCAGCCACTGTACAACATCAGCCTGTACGAGAACGTCACCGTGGGGACCTCTGTGCTGACAGTCTTGGTGAGTCCCGGCTCTCCCACAGGGCTACTGAGCTCTCCGGGGCCGACTGCGGTAAGGCATCCAGAGGGATTTTGTCCAAGGGACCTGGGCAATCAGGGAAAGAGGCGCCCCCAAATCCCTAAGCTGTGTTTGTTGGTGTATTAAATAAAGTTTCTGGACTCTTCAGGGTGGGGCTCCCTTGGTCTAGGCAGCGATATGGAAAATGAGCCAACCTGGGGGGAGACGAGACTGGACTGAGGACACTGATTTTCTATCTTTCCCCAAGAGAGACTCAGTGAGGGTGGGCCAGGAGACCTGGAAGCCCCCTCCAGTGGGTGGGAAGGTGCCGGCCATCTCTGAGAAGGGCGACCCTCTCCATATGAGCATAGGCACCAGAGAGGGACGGGCTCCTGGGGGATGCCTGGGCATCCCTAGCTGCCCATGGCTGGACTTGTCCTTTGACAAGGGGCCCTCCCAGTGTCATCTGTATCTGTCAGTACTCTTGTTTGCAAGGGACAGAAACCCTTAAGTAGTTCAAGCAAAAAAGGATCGGCTCACGTAACTCAAAAGTACAAGTGATTTCAGGCCAGGCGCGGTGGCTCACGCCTGTAATCCCAACACTTTGGGAAGCCAAGATGGGAGGATTACTTGAGGTCAGGAGTTTGAGACCAGCCTGGCCAACACGACAAAACCCCGTCTCTACTAAAAATACAAAAATTAGCCAGGTGTGGTAGCACATGCCTGTAGTCCCAGCTACTAGGGAGGCTGAGGCAGGAGAATCGCTTGAACCCAGGAGGTGGAGGTTGCAGTGAGTCGAGATTGCATCACTGCACTCCAGACTGGGCGACATAGCAAGACTCTGTCTCAAAAAAAAAAATAAAAAATAAAATAAAAAGTGTAAGTGGGGGCCGGGCGCGGTGGCTCAAGCCTGTAATCCCAGCACTTTGGGAGGCCGAGACGGGCGGATCACGAGGTCAGGAGATCGAGACCATCCTGGCTAACACGGTGAAACCCCATCTCTACTAAAAATACAAAAAACTAGCCGGGCGAGGTGGCGGGCGCCTGTAGTCCCAGCTACTCCGGAGGCTGAGGCAGGAGAATGGCGTAAACCCGGGAGGCGGAGCTTGCAGTGAGCTGAGATCCGGCCACTGCAGTCCAGCCCGGGCTACAGAGCAAGACTCCGTCTCAAAAAAAAAAAAAAAAAAAAAAAAAAAAAAAAAAAAAAAAAAGTGTAAGTGATTTCAGGCGTGGCTGCATCCAGGCACTCAGTTGAGCAGGGCTCGGTCTTCAACACTAGGTTCTGCTTTTTTGTATTGGCAAAGAGGGGCACCAGCACATCTAGGCTGACTTCTTACCAATTTATCAACCCTAGTGGGAAAAATTCTTTTGCAGTAATTCCAGCAGATTCTCATCGGCCCAGTTGGTTGGGCCATCCTGGAACCAATCGTGATTCTGGTATGCCGGGGAGGGATCACACTCCCCCTAGTGGACCCAGGGGTTGGGGTCAGCCCCACCCGAATCACACTGGCTGAGAATGGGGGAGGGGCTTCTATTCTAAGACAAGGGATTGAATGCTAAGCAGATCCGAGTGGTAGATGTGTGCCACACAGGCTCAGAGTCTTGCCCATAGTCGGTGCTCAATAGATGTCATGGAGTTTAACTCACTGCTTTCTCCTCCTTGCACACCTGGGGCCCCCAGAGTCCTTGCTTCCATTTCTTGCTCCTTCCCCACTCCAAGCAGAGACCCTGCCTGTGATACCAAGACCCCGCTCTGAAGTGTGTTTACTCTACAGACAGATGGTGTGAAACTGCACTGAGCCCCCAGGCCCTTCCCATCTGACAGTTATTAATATTTCAAACAGATGTTTAGCTAGTCAGGTTGTCAGACGAAAACAATAATTCTGCGGCAGCTGTTTCCTCCAACCCCCGCGTCTCTAGCTCATGATTCCTCCAGCTTTCACGAAGGTGCTCCCTGCAATAAATCACTAGGTGCTTGAGGCCCCCTGGACCCTCCTCCAGCCTCTCAGTGCCCAGCCAGAGAGCAAGTGCCAGAGGCTCTGGCCTTCTGGACCCAAAGTGTGTGTCTTTACCTACCACCCACCTTCGAAGGACTGGGTAAAGGGCAGCCAACAGCCTGTGCCTTGGAGGCCTCAGGGAGTGGAGGGGAGGCTCTGTGCCCTGCAGCTCTGGGACCATGCGGCAAAGAATTCCAGTGTCAGATCCAGGCTCAGTGGGTGTTAGGGGATTCCTCCCTGGCGTTCTTGCTTGGGACAGAGTTTCCTCACTGTGTAGTCCCAAGTTCCCATGGTCCTTGGAAAGGGATGGGGAAAACCTATGGAGCAGGGAGGAGATATGAAATGTGAGAAGGGGCATCCCTCGGTCGGTGGTACCAAGGACAGCTGTGTCAGGCCTAGTTCAGTTTGGGGCTGGCACTGGGGAGCAGGCTTTGGTGAATGTGAGCCGAGCCCCTCATGCCAGGTTTTTATCCAGAACTGGGGCAGCTGCTGGGCCTGAGCCCAGCCTTCTCTGTGAGTTGCTTGGAACCAGCAGATCCGGCCAGCCTCCCTGGGTTCCTGGCTTCCTTCATCCAAGCCTCACCCACCACCTTCTCAAGCTCCCAGCCCCAGGGTTTATGAAACCATAAAGGGTGAGGGCCCATCTCATCAGGTAACAGCTCTCACAGCGTGACTGTATGCCTAAAGGAGTTCAGGCCCTGCAGGAGGACAGTGGGGACCCCACGTGCTGGCCTATCCATGCCACTCTTAGCGCCTTCATTTTCTCATCTGCAAAATGGGCCCCAGAGCTAGTAGTGACTAAACTGGAATTCTGTTCCTGTAAAGGGGATATAAAAACATCCTGGGTGACCCACCCAACCCCCTTCCTCTCCCAGTCTCCCCGAGGTATTTCCTGGCCACAACCTCCACACTGCCCTGCCCTGCTCTTGGCCTCCCTCACCTGGCAGCTCTCTGTTCAGACCCGGGTCAGCCCAATCTCTCTACTCCTCTGCCATAAGAGGGGCTGAAGTTATGGTTGCCTGCTCAGGGACTGTGAAATTCCTTCCCCCTGACCTTTTCTGGGATGTTATTAAAATGTTTCATGGGCAGTTGTGTCAGGAAAAAAATTATGAAGAAAAGGAAATGTTTTAATTTGCACTGAAGGCAGGAGTAGAGCGTCCCCAGCCCCCATCCTGGCGTGGCCCTGCTTCAGTGACTAGTCACCTGTCCAGGGGGAAGGTGGTCATTTAACATGACTTGAGGAAGCTGGAATAGGAAGGGCTGTCACCACCAGCCCAGGTGTCCTGGCAGGGGTAGAAGGGCCAGACTTTCTCACCTCCCAGCTCCCTGGACCTTATGGCCCCCAGTTACAGCAAAATGAGCTTCCACTGGTTGCAGGAAAAGAGTGGGGACACCCCCACGCACACAGTCTGTGCTGGCAGAACCCACATGTACAAAAAGCCCACCTTCTGTATGTATACAGGTATTTTGCATATCTGGAATACTGTATTTGCCATCCGAATTTGGTTGAAAAAAATGTTGCATGTAAATGAACCCACACGGTTCAAACACGTGCTGTTCAAGGGCCAACTGTATCTCTAACCTGTTAAGTAGGTGCTGTTATTCTCACTTTACAGATGAGGAAACAGATGAGGCTCGGGGAGTTAAGTAACTTGCTCAGGGCCCCAGGGCTAGTAAGTGACTAAACCAGATTCACACAGTGACTCCATTTCCCAAGCCACAGGCTCTTAACCACGAGGCCGCCCATCCAGAAGGTTCTATGTGGGACCACTGAGCCTAGCCCTTTCAGCAACCTTCAGAGCTGAGGGTAAAGAGAGGAGCTGGAAAGTGCTGTCTGTGGTACCCGTGGGGACAGGTCCCAGGGTCGCTCCAGGCAGTGTGTTCTTCCGTGACACTCAAGACTTTTAGGGCCTGTGGTACCAGCAGGTGAATTTTCACATCTCTGAGCCCTAAGCTGCTCCAGGGACAGAGCTGTGCGTGTTTTCATTGATGGAGAAACCGCTTCAGAGATACTCGAGCACTTTGCTCAGGGAAGCAGGAATACCAAGGCAGCCCAGAGCTGTCTCTACTAGGAAAGGCTTCCTGGAAGGAGGGAGGGTTCAGGATGAATGTGCTCTGAAGGGTGATCACACAGAGGAAGGATGTGCGGGGATGCATATGTGTATATGTGGGCAGGCATGTGAGGTATGCTTGTGGATGTGTATGGGCGTGTGTGTAGGCAGGCATGTTTTTTGTGCCTGTGTACATGTACATGTGTTTGCGGCTGTGTATAATCAGGGGTATGTGTATGTAATATACACATGTGTGTGCATGTGTGCCTTGCACATGCATGTTATAACTACATGCATTTGGGTATGTGCGCACACTATATGCATACATATGTGCACACGTGTGTGTACATGTATGTGCCTGTGCTGATGCATGGATGATGCTGGTGGCTCCCCATCCTCTAGGTTGTGTGGTTTGTTCTCTCTCATATCGCAGGCTGCTCTGTGATTCACACCTTCCAGTCCTGCCTCCTGACCTGGCAATAGAAGTCAGATGAGAAGACCAGGGAGTGTCTTATCCTGGGACCCTGCTAGGCTTGGGGCAGCCCTGCAGCCTGGCCAGTGTCTGGGGCCTGGCAGGGTTTGTGAGTACTACTGGGCAGTACAAGAGGTGCAAGAGTAATCTAATTATTTACTCATTCATTCATTCAATAAATGTTTGTGGAATACCTGCTATGTGCTAGGCACATGGCCCTGAGGACACATGGTGATGTGAGTCTTATAAAGTTCACAGTCGGCCGGGCGTGGTGGCTCACACCTGTAATCCCTGCACTTTGGGAGGCCGAGGCAGGCAGATCACGAGGTCAGGAGATCGAGACCATCCTGGCTAACATGGTGAAACTCTGTCACTACTAAAAATACAAAAAAAAAAAAAAAAATTAACTTGGTGAGGTGGCGGGTGCCTGTAGTCCCAGCTACTCGGGAGGCTGAGGCAGGAGAATGGCGTGAACCTGGGAGG